GAAGGCGGTCTTGGCATCACGGCCTGTCAAAGGGCCCTCGCCACCCCTCCTGTTAAGGGGTCGTAGTCGTCTCCCTATGATGAGTATAGTGTCGGGTTTGGATAGTTAATGTTGAAAACGACGTGTGGCATTTACCGTGGGGGTTATAGTGGGGTATATTTTGTCTGTTGTGTCCTTTGTCAGTTGTGAAATCCGAAGCAAGGCTCGTTTGGTTCCGGAGTCGTGAATTGCAAGGGAGAACTATTCGTTATTTAGGCGTTCCGTCCGTCACCTCCGTATTTAATTGACTCCTTCCGATCGTTGTTAAATGACGCCACTGCCTTGCGTCCCAGCCAGTTGTTCCACTCGGAAAGGTGTGTGCGTGACGGGGAAAATTCCCGCTATATTTCGTCTCTTCAGGATATAGGACCACTGCATGCGTACCCGGATGCCCTTGATTAACTTTTGGCTCGTCAGCTGTAATTCGCTCCTTCACACCTCCTGTAGCTATGGCATTTCTGTTTCAATTTGTTGCCGTCGTCTTGGTGTTCTCATTACAGCTCATCTCCTCGGGCGAACACTTGCTTGACGTCGCCTATCTGACACGCACGGCGGGATCTTTTTTATGAAGACGAAAATATATTCAATCTTTGGATGACTGCCATATTCTCTGGTATTTATTTCGTGTACACCTCGTTGTCCCTATCATGCCCTCTTCTCCCCCCCTCTCTCTCTCGCTCCTGCTTCCTCTTCTCTCTCTCGCTCCTGCTTCCTCTCTCTCTCTCTCTCCCTCTCCCTCTCCCTCTCTCCCTCTCCCTCTCCCTCTCTCTCCCCCTCTCTCCCTCTCCCTCTCCCTCTCTCTCCCCCTCTCTCCCTCTCCCTCTCTCTCCCTCTCTCTCTCCCCCTCTCCCCCTCTCCCCCTCTCCCTATCTCAAAATATGTATATTGTAGTTACTTGTATACATAGCCCTTGCCAATCTTCCTCTCCCTCTCTATCCCTCATCTCCTCTTCCCCCCTTGTCTCTTCCCTCCACCCCCTCCTCCCTCCCCCTACTCTCTCCTTTCCTTCCTCCCCTCCTCCCTCTCGCTCCTCTCCCTCCCTCCCTTTCCCTCTACCTCCCGGCCCCCCTCCCCTGGGTCACGTGAAGCGCCGGTACCACAACCTTGCACTTTCGCTTGATTATTTTCCTTGTTTATCTTATCTGCAATTGCAAACCTGTTGGAATTTGCTTTGCAGCTTCAGGTCCTTACACCCGCGGTTTCTCTGATCATTTCGCAAAGCCCGTCATTCCAGGTGGCTAACGTAAGCATTTTTTCTACCTGTTACACATCTTTATTTTTATCCTCGCTTGAATATACTCGTATTTAAATTATCTTGGGTTTATGGTTCTGCGCCTTATGTCTTGTACCAGTTTTATTTCGGAGCAGTACAGGGGTATTCAACATGTTAATACTGGAATGAACCAGTATGAATAGGAATAAATATGCATATTTATAAGCGCGATATGATGTAGTCTCCGGTTCTCGAAGCACATTTTATAAACACAACTTAGTTGACACATCAGGGCCTTCGGTGTAGCAACTCGTCCTCCAGGAGCAGGTGATCGCTGATCCTCGGTGTCCGTGGGGCTGCACGTCTCGCGGACGGCCTTGGATGATGCCCAACGCCCGTCATCCCGCCTGTCAGGTGACTCGGGGAAATGGGGAGGGGGGGGCGGTGGGAGGAGGAGGAGGAGAACCAAGACATTATTCAGCTGTTCGGAGGACGTGGCTTAGGCCTCGCTATGAGGCATCTGCCGAGGAAATGTTAGAGCCATTGTCCGTGGAGAGAAGTCCGGAGGTCATTAGGTGCGACCCGCCTCTCTCCCGCCGCCGACGGGACTCGGTAGCTCTTGCCCAATGTCGTTTTTTTCTTCCCTTTCGCCCTTTGGGGATTTACCTAATGAAGGGCTGGGGCGGTGAGGCTAGAGATGTCAAGGGAATGGACGGGGAGTCCTAGCAAAGGCACAGCAAATTCTTGCCCATCTGCCTAGATATCTGGCATTTAGGGGTACCCTGTGAAACTGTATTAGAAGGTTGCTCTCAGAATGTCAACGCGGTTTTGGCGGGAAGATCCAGTTCTTGTGAAGTACTTGATATACAGCGTCTTCGTTAGTAAGTATGACGTAGAGATTGGCAGAGAGTTAAAAGCTGCTTTTGTTTACGGATGTGTGCTCGATAGTTGCCTGGACACTCGGCAATGCACGTGGGCGCGGCGGCAGACCCAGACATTGATTCCATTTTCGGGAACGTCGCTCTCGGCGGCCCCGCCACTTCGTTCGCCGCTCGAGTCCAGCTCGCCATGTCGGAATTAGAGGCATTCACATAGTGCAGAAATCACGCCGCATTCACCGGCGCAAGGAGCTCGTGGCATTCCCGGGCACACGACGAGTGGTTGCCGCAGCTCCCGAGGGCCGCGGCGAGGAGAGGGCCATCAGGGGCGGGAGGCGAGGCCAGGATAGCCACAGGGCGCTGCGAGGCTCTTCTGAAATAGGCTGAAATAGGCCCCAGCGCCGGGAGGATGACCGGCTCGGCTTCGCGAAGACGCTGCTACAGCAGACACATTGAACGGTAATGTTGTACAAGTTTGGTCTTTAAAGGCCTTTTGTGATCTGTCTGACACGCGCGTGCACTTTTGCGTGACAGGGCCCTCGACGGGCAATGACAAAGGTTTCCCGCAGAATATTCTCTCGTTTCTTTTTTTCACTCGATGATTGCACGCCGCGCCGCGCCAGGCCTTAGTTGCGTGCTCTTGCGTGCCTGGAATTCCTGCGACGGCGTGACCTGGATCCATTCCCGGGAATCCATTAAATAGCGCCGTAAAGTGTCATGCAAGCAGGGCGCTCGCACCCAGGACGTGACCGCTAGGCGCGCGCGTTCCCCTTTCCTCCTGACGTCAGCGAGTGAGTCAAGGGATACGCGGGCCGTTATTTCCGCGTCCGCCTCGGGAGGGACGCGCCGGGGCCCTCGGTGTCATGCGGGGGAGGGGCGGGGGGGGGGGAAGGACAAAAGAAGGGAGGGAGGAAGGAAGGAAGGAAAGAAAGAAAGAAAGAAAGAAAGGAGGGAGGGAAGAAGGAAAGAAAGAAGGAAGGAAGGGAGGGTGGAAGGAAACAAAGAAGGGAGGGAGGACCAAAGTGAGGGAGGGAGGACCAAAGTGAGGGAGGGAGGGAGGAAGGAAGAAAGGTAGGGAGGGAGGGAGGAAGGAAGAAAGGTAGGGAGGGAGGGAGGAAGGAAGAAAGGTAGGGAGTGAGGGAGGAAGGAAGAAAGGGAGGGAGGGAGGGAGGAAGGAAGAAAGGGAGGGAGGGAGGAAGGAAGGAAGAAAGGGAGGAAGGAAGGAAGAAAGGGAGGGAGGAAGGAAGAAAGGGAGGGAGGGAGGGAGGAAGAAAGGGAGGGAGGGAGGGAGGGAAGGAAGGAAGGGAGGGAGGGAGGGAAGGAAGGAAGGAAGGGAGGGAGGGAAGGAAGAAAGGGAGGGAGGGAAGGAAGAAAGGGAGGGAGGGAAGGAAGAAAGGGAGGGAGGGAGGGAAGGAAGAAAGGTAGGGAGGGAAGGAAGGAAGGAAGGAAGGACCAAAGGAGGACACAACTCGCAATGGCATGTACTTATAGGCGTTCATATATACTCACACGGATATACAAATGCATACCCACTCCTATTCAGTCCTACATATCTAGGGATATGATGTATATGAAGAAAACCTACATGCTATATAGAAATGTACATGAGCGAAGCAGACGCATACATGTTTGTTTATTATTTTATATATAAATGCGCAGTGTCATGAAAGGGGGGCAGCGGCCGCTCATGACAGCCTCGAGAGTGCCAATATGGGGCACTCGCGGCCCGGTGCCAACGGCGCTGATTGACTAGTCCCTCTTGGCCGGGGGGGGGGGGGGCATTGGAAGGTGGCCCAGGCACGCATTTGATGACCGTCAGCCTGGCGGCGCCCTGCGGTGACCTCGCGTCCCGGGGTCACTGCTGGCTTTGTTGCTCGGCACTGAATGCATAGTGCTCTGTATAAAAACGGAATATATTAGAGGCCGAATATATTATATAGGATATTTAGATCAGTATATACCACTCACTCACATACAAATAACATGTATATATGATGTATGTATGTCTCTCTCTCTCTCTCTCTCTCTCTCTCTCTCTCTCTCTCTCTCTCTCTCTCTCTCTCTCTCTCTCTCTCTCTCTCTCTTTCTCTCTTTCTCTTTCTCTTTCTCTTTCTCTTTCTCTTTCTCTTTCTCTCTTTCTCTCTCTCTCCCTCTCTCTCCTTCCTTCTCTCCTTCCTTCTCTCCTTCCTTCTCTCTCTCTCTCCCTCTCTCTCTCCCTCTCTCTCTCCCTCTCTCTCCTTCCTTCTCTCTCTCTCTCCCTCTCTCTCCTTCCTTCTCTCCTCTTCTCCCTCTATCCCTCCCTCCCCCTCCCCATCTTCCTATCCCTCTATAATACAGATAGATATTGTATGTATGTGTGTGGCGTGGCAGTCGGATTGCCAAGGAAAAGCGCATGACTTGATTAGCACCTCTGTTGGTCTGACTCGCGGCCTCGCCTGCGACGCTGCAGCGCGAGCATAGCCGGGAATCAGCGCGTCGCAGCGCCCTCGGCGTGGAATGCTGGCGGCGGGCGGTGCTGAGGTCGCAGCCGTCTCAGCAGCGCATCTGAGATTCGAGAAGCGGAGCTTGCACAGCGCCCGAGCAGCGCATTCCGCCGTGTTTGCATTCCGGGCCGACGGTTAGGAAGGACGAACCGTCGACCAATCTCCTTGCGCTGACCTGCAAAGGCACCTTGCAGCAGGCGCGCATTGCGACGACTCGCCTCGCATCGAAACGTAGGATGACGTTACAGTTCAGGATTGTTGGTAGATTTTATGGAGTGCGGACGGTCAGCATCGTAGAATCGTGTTGGGAACGTGCACTTAGAGGTGGTCCTCCCATGTCTTATTTCTTTGGCTTTTTTATTTAACGGTTATCTTTCTCTTCGACAGCTCTGCCTCCGCCGACCGCTGGCCTCGTCCGTACGCAGCCGACAGCCTCTTCAAGAGCAGCAGTGCCAGCAGTGCCCAGCGGAAAGTCCTGTGCGCCGACTCCCCCGGCACAGAGAGCAGCAGGCTCGCGAAAGGGTTGCACCTGTGGTGCCTTAGGCCGCAAACAAGCAGGATGGCCCCCGACCCCCACGGCCAAGAGGAGTCCGGCCCCGTCGGCTCCATCATCGCCGGACACAAGATCTCGCTCAACGTCCACTACGACAACACCGACTCCGAGCCAGGTAGGTCAGAGGCGAGGCTGCCGCTGCGCGCGAGATGTGGAACATCGCCGTGGCCTTCTGTTGGGCATACGCTCACGTAAACGCCTTCCGTTTCTCCCGCAGCCAAGGCGGTGGGCAGCGAGGTGACGCCCATCGAGGAGATGGTAGCGAGCGCGGGCGCCCTCCCTCGCGACACGCCCGACCGGGCCAGGAGCGCGGCCCCCGAGTTTGCCCCTTCGGCCAGCCACAGCAGAGAGGACCGTCGGGAGGACCAGGGCGAGAAGGTGACGCACATCGACCACGTGCTCGGGGAGGTGAGTGCGCAAGAAAACTTTAGGAACAAATTATCAGCTAGAAATTGTGGTTCACAGTGCCTACCCTGCCTTGATTTCGCCCTCCTGGGACAAGACATGGGTTGAGCAATTCCACAAAAAATGTAATTGGCGTTTTAGTACATCTTTGTCAGAATGATGTTCAGATCAAGATGCAAGACGTAAGGGTAATTACGTACCTAATTTGGGTATCATCCACGCATCCGGACCGCGCAAGCGCAGTCGGGTTCGGATAAAACCGCCCTCGGGGCCGCGGAGGGCGTGCGTTGCCTCGGCGTTCAGCAACTTGGACGCCGCCACTTCCGCCGGCGCGCAAGGCCACGCCGTAGCAGCCGAGGAAGGGCCTGCAACACATCCAAACGGAGCAGGAAGTACTTAGATGCTCGCAGAGGAGTGTCATGGGAGACTCAAGGGCGGCGCTGGCCCGGCATAACAGCGGACAGGGAAATGACACGCACAGAAAGCTGATGCGAGGCGCTGCTGGAATACTAACGGGGCTCATTGGTACCTTTTTGTAGGGGAGGGAGGGGGAGGGAGGGAGGGAGGAAGTGGGAAGGGAAAAAAGGGGCGGGGAGAGAGGGAGGGGAGGGGAGGAGAGGGGAAACGGAGGGAGTGATTAAGGATGACGGCGACACCGCAGACGGTGTGTGAACAGCAGGCAGTTAGTAGGCTGGCAGGAGCGGACCATCGCACACGCCTTGGAGGAAACCGCAGCTCGGGTGCAGCATGGTAGCTAGCAGCTAGGAGCGTTTCGAGTGCTTTTGTCACACCTGTCAGTCGCCCCCCGCGAGGTGTCCCACTTACCTGCCCCTAAATTCCACCTTTCGAAAGGTCGCACAGTATCCTGAAGTGGACATGGGGGGGGGGGGATTACGGGCCGTAAGGAATGGCGAGCGAAGGAATGGGAAAACACTCAGCGTGCGGAATGCCGCTCTTCAGGCCGAGGCTTGCGCGTCAGAAATGCGGGCGGCGGCGGCGGGCAAATGCTGTTAGTCCTATCTAGAGCATGTCCAGGTAGCCGCCGCCGCCGCCGCAGCAGCAGGTGGAGGAGCCCGGCCGACCCCGCCAAGTGGAAGGCGTTCGGTGCGTCTCCCTCCCTGTGTTTCCGCGTCGGCCGGAGCGCGCGGCGACCTCCATTCAGTGGTTTCTTTTGAAACGCCAGTGGGTGTATTTTTGTTGGCGTGAAGTGGGAGGTGTTCGTTATACAGCACATGCAAATAGTGTATGTTATTGTGTAAGGCCAGTTACGTGTGTACCACGATATGTACATGCTGTGTTGATATTATAATACGAGAATAATGTATATATGATGATACTGACAGTAATAATGCATTCGGGTATATATACATGAGGCCTGCCAGTTAGAAAGTACGTGAGTTGAGACACTGAAGCGCGTGCCCTTTTTGTAAGTGAATGGCGTATTCCAAGTTCTGTCGTTGGCGGCGCCGGACCTCGTTTTTACAAGTTGGAAAGCTACCACATTTTGTCGCTTCGAAAAAGGCCCTCGGGTCAGCCCCGCATTGTCCGCACTTCCCGGGACGCGGCTCCACAATGCTCGCAGCAAGAAGCGTCGTGCAAAAGAGCGAGGAAGACCGTGCAGGAAGTACGCCCGGCCGTCATTGCCGCCCGCCCGCCAGTCCTCCTCCGGCCTTGGAGCGGAGCCTCACGCGCCCGGCCCTGCCTCCGTGCCCAGCTCCGCCGCCGACAATCGGTACATCTCGGGTATTGACGGGGGGGGGGGGGGGCAGCTTTCCATGGCCTTGGATATTGGGCCGCAGGACAGGCAGGGCTGTTATTCAAGCCCGGCCGCGGATTAGGAGCGTCATCTCCGGGTTTTAGATGAAGAGAGAAAAAGATGCAAGAAAAATGGGAGAAAAACAGGAGGATGTGGAAGAAGTAAGGTCTACTGCCTTCGGTGCACAGTTTCGCGCCTCACGAGCTCCTCGCCGTCAGTCGCCTCCACGACGTGTTGCTGTGTGGTGCAGCGGTAGCATTGTTGCTGACCTGCGTTCAAATCCCTCGCCGCCAGTGAATGGTGACCCCGGCCATTCTTTGCACACGAGGGATGATTTAGAAGCAAAATGAAGCAGACAATATGTCACACCAAGAATATCCATTGTAAGAGATGGAATCAAACTAAATTATAGTTATAATAAGAGCGTTGGCAAGCGGCGAACCGTGCATGCGTGCTTGGAATTAGATGCTCGGATGTCCACGCGTTACTGAAGGAAGGCGGCGTGCAGAGATGAGCCCGAAATGGGAAGCTGTAGCGCTGCGCTGGGGACATGGCCGCTGCACCTTGCGATTTGGCAGGGACAGCGCACCACGTGGCCCGTGTCCTTGGAGAGTCGGGAGAGGTGCATGTTTACGTGCAAACTATTAACATGTGCGTTGATAAAAGTGCGAGAAGTCCCACACGGTTTGCCATGTGTAACAACACCCTGTTATATGCAGGGGAATATACGTCAGTTATTTTTTTAGAGGCACATACGCAAAACCACTGTGTTCTGCGCGAGATATCTTTCTCTCACAATACGCATAGACTTTAGGAGGAAAGATCCGTGTATATAAACCACGAACTCCTCTCCAGGCGTCTCATGATGCCTACCTGCAGAAGGTATAACAACTTAAATGCTTGTTCCTGCTCTCTCGCCGAATCTTAATTGCTGCATCAAGGCTGAATGCGGATTTGGTGGCGAGGGAAATGGTAGACTTCATACAACGATTGCTAGGTGGTATTCCTCCAAGTACGTGTGTACTCTGAGCGGATGGTATTCCTCCAAGTACGTGTGTACTCTGAGCGGATGCAAGGTATGCGTGTTTGTGCAATCCGCAAAAAAAGGGATCTTGGTAGGTGGCAACACAGGGGGAGAGGGAGAGGGATTGGGAGATTGAGGGAGAGGGAGAGGCACTGAATGATTGAATGAGAGGGAGAAGGATTTGGTGATTGTGGGAGAGGGAGAGGAAGAGGGACTGGGAGTGATTGAATGAGAGAGAGAGGGAGAGAGAGAGAGAGAGAGAGAGAGAGAGAGAGAGAGAGAGAGAGAGAGAGAGAGAGAGAGAGAGAGAGAGAGAGAGAGAGAGAAAGGGAGAGAGAGGGAGAGAGAGGGAGGGAGGGAGAGAGAGGGAGGGAGAGGGAGAGGGAGGAGTGGGTGATTAAGGGAGAAGGAGGGAGAGGTGAAGAGGCATTGTTGCGTACATGGTTTCACGGGACATACGGCACCAACGGAGCTCCTGCCTGACTGTGCATGTGGAGGAAGTGTTGCTTGCCTGTAAGGGTTTAAAAAGCTTCTTGAATTTCGCGATCCACCGCGACCCATAAACTGCATCTAATTTACTCTAAAAGGCCTCCTTTAACGCGGGCCATCTTGGAAACGTTCGGCATGTGTCAGCGTGTCACCATTTCGTGTTCCTCTGACACGGTTCCTCTTTTAGAAATCCCGAGAATAGCTTCCTCCGTCTTGACGTATGTAACTTGGCAGGAGAACGCCAAGGTCCAATGCTCTTGTTCCTGCGTTAGGCTTACATGACGTCACGGGCGATAGTGACGTCAGCGGGTGTGGGGCGGGAAGAGGTCGTGTAGGGGAGGAGCTTGCCGTACCTGCGGCAGGGCATTGGGCGGCGGAGGGAGGGGCATGGCCAGGGCGGCCGCGGGCCAGCGGCGCCTTCACGAGGCAGTGGATAGACGGCGCTCACCTGTGCTGCTCACCTGTGCCGCTCGCTGCCGCCCTCCTGCCGCTGCCACTCGAGTCGCCGAGCCCTGTCTTGCGCCGCCACGGAAGGGACGCTTCCCCTGCGCGTGACCCGAAGGACGCCGCGCCGAGAGAGAGATTTGTGTGCAGACGAAATTGAGAGAGCGGGAAAAGAGCCTTTGAATTCGCGCGTCAGTGAATGTAAGTGATGCAGTGATTCTGGAAATCTGGACTGGAAATGGAAGGAAAATGTAGTGTTGTGTGGAAAGACTTCCTGTTTGGATGCTGAGATGGGAGAGAGAAAGTGGAGGGGGGTGGGGGAGCTTCCTGGCTAGTCTTCGCTCTGCCTCTTACCTGGACGCGCTGGCTGATTCAAGGTCAGCTCCGAGAGGCCTCTGTCAGCCGGTTTGTTACAGTGAACTGTCGCGTTTGGTACCTTCGTTAAGGCTGCAGACAAGGTATCGGTGATATTGCTGCTTTCGTGACCCCCCCCTCCCCTGCTTTCCCTCTCCCCTCTCCTCGATTTGTTTCTGAAGGCGCGGCTACCGTCTTCGGGTCCTCTTTCCCGAATCCTGGGCGACTTGGACAAAATGTTATGAAGATAGTCCGTTTCTTAGCCACCTGGCTCTGTGCTCCGTCCTCGCCCAAGACTTTTTCTCCCAACCTTGGTGCTAATGGCGCTGGCGGGGCTGCTGGCTGGCCGCCCTCCTCGGGGCTGGTCGTCGATGCTACGTAGCTTTTTATTTAAGTTATGCCGCCTGGTTAGGTAGTAACCATGCCTTACAATTACACTGCAGTCAAATATGATGGCACTTACACCATTAATGAATTTATTTTTAATTTTAAAACTAAACTGGCATCTGTATGCTTCGGTTAGTGAAACCGACGAGTAGGCTTAAGTGCTCATCAGTCCCCAGTGAACCCCGAGACAGGTAATGAGCGAACCACAGGCCGGCCCAAGGGTTGCTCGAAGGCCTTGCTCATCACGCTTTTTTTTTCGTCTGACATACACATATCGCGGAACTTGGCTTCCGACCCGGCGCGCGGCTATTACCTTCAAGGCTTTTTAAGTACGGAAGTTAATAATAATATTCGTGCTGTCCAACCCCTATGGATGGCAGCAGCCAGTTGTCAACCTGCCGTCTCTCTCCATCATGAAGAATAGAAGAGCGATGCGGTTTTGAAAGCAAGTCCAATGCGATGCAGAGATGCAGCTCCTGAAAAGGGGCCAATTGCCATTTTCATAGCAGTTCGATAACCTGTGCGTCAGCGTGAACCTGTCGGCGCATTGTGGTCGCCGAGGAAGTCCTGCTGCCCGGGAGAAGAAACCGGGAGCCAGTGACGTCACGAGCCCCGGATTCTTGGCTAACGCAGGGGGCTTTGATAATACGAAATATAAGCCAGCGGTGGGCTTTATCTCTTGTTTTTCTGCTGTCGCTTTTACGACACATGCGCGCGCACCGCCAGCATAAACAGCCTTAAATAAACACGCACGCATACACAGCACGCAAATCCAACAGCAGCCATAACACACGCACGCCATAAACCACAGCACATGCACACATGGGCACATGCACACATGGGCACATGCACACATGGGCACATGCACACATGGGCACATGCACACATGGGCACATGCACACATGGGCACATGCACACATGGGCACATGCACACATGGGCACATGCACACATGGGCACATGCACACATGGGCACATGCACACATGGGCACATGCACACATGGGCACATGCACACATGGGCACATGCACACATGGGCACATGCACACATGGGCACATGCACACATGGGCACATGCACACATGGGCACATGCACACATGGGCACATGCACACATGGGCACATGCACACATGGGCACATGCACACATGGGCACATGCACACATGGGCACATGCACACATGGGCACATGCACACATGGGCACATGCACACATGGGCACATGCACACATGGGCACATGCACACATGGGCACATGCACACATGGGCACATGCACACATGGGCACATGCACACATGGGCACATGCACACATGGGCACATGCACACATGGGCACATGCACACATGGGCACATGCACACATGGGCACATGCACACATGGGCACATGCACACATGGGCACATGCACACATGGGCACATGCACACATGGGCACATGCACACATGGGCACATGCACACATGGGCACATGCACACATGGGCACATGCACACATGGGCACATGCACACATGGGCACATGCACACATGGGCACATGCACACATGGGCACATGCACACATGGGCACATGCACACATGGGCACATGCACACATGGGCACATGCACACATGGGCACATGCACACATGGGCACATGCACACATGGGCACATGCACACATGGGCACATGCACACATGGGCACATGCACACATGGGCACATGCACACATGGGCACATGCACACATGGGCACATGCACACATGGGCACATGCACACATGGGCACATGCACACATGGGCACATGCACACATGGGCACATGCACATATGGGCACATGCACACATGGGCACATGCACACATGGGCACATGCACACATGGGCACATGCACACATGGGCACATTCACACATGGGCACATGCACACATGGGCACATGCACACATGGGCACATGCACACATGGGCACATGCACACATGGGCACATGCACACATGGGCACATGCACACATGGGCACATGCACACATGGGCACATGCACACATGGGCACATGCACACATGGGCACATGCACACATGGGCACATGCACACATGGGCACATGCACACATGGGCACATGCACACATGGGCACATGCACACATGGGCACATGCACACATGGGCACATGCACACATGGGCACATGCACACATGGGCACATGCACACATGGGCACATGCACACATGGGCACATGCACACATGGGCACATGCACACATGGGCACATGCACACATGGGCACATGCACACATGGGCACATGCACACATGGGCACATGCACACATGGGCACATGCACACATGGGCACATGCACACATGGGCACATGCACACATGGGCACATGCACACATGGGCACATGCACACATGGGCACATGCACACATGGGCACATGCACACATGGGCACATGCACACATGGGCACATGCACACATGGGCACATGCACACATGGGCACATGCACACATGGGCACATGCACACATGGGCACATGCACACATGGGCACATGCACACATGGGCACATGCACACATGGGCACATGCACACATGGGCACATGCACACATGGGCACATGCACACATGGGCACATGCACACATGGGCACATGCACACATGGGCACATGCACACATGGGCACATGCACACATGGGCACATGCACACATGGGCACATGCACACATGGGCACATGCACACATGGGCACATGCACACATGGGCACATGCACACATGGGCACATGCACACATGGGCACATGCACACATGGGCACATGCACACATGGGCACATGCACACATGGGCACATGCACACATGGGCACATGCACACATGGGCACATGCACACATGGGCACATGCACACATGGGCACATGCACACATGGGCACATGCACACATGGGCACATGCACACATGGGCACATGCACACATGGGCACATGCACACATGGGCACATGCACACATGGGCACATGCACACATGGGCACATGCACACATGGGCACATGCACACATGGGCACATGCACACATGGGCACATGCACACATGGGCACATGCACACATGGGCACATGCACACATGGGCACATGCACACATGGGCACATGCACACATGGGCACATGCACACATGGGCACATGCACACATGGGCACATGCACACATGGGCACATGCACACATGGGCACATGCACACATGGGCACATGCACACATGGGCACATGCACACATGGGCACATGCACACATGGGCACATGCACACATGGGCACATGCACACATGGGCACATGCACACATGGGCACATGCACACATGGGCACATGCACACATGGGCACATGCACACATGGGCACATGCACACATGGGCACACGCACACATACACACACGCACACATACACATACACGCGCACACACACACACACGCACACGCGCACACACACACGCACACATACACATACACGCGCACACACACATACACACACGCACACATACATACACACGCACACATACACATACACACGCACACATACACATACACGCGCACACATACACATACACACGCACACATACACACACACACACATACACACACGCACACATACGCATACACACACGCACACATACGCATACACACACGCACACATACACACACGCACACATACACACACGCACACATACACGCGCGTGGAATTCATGTCAAACAAATTGCAGGAAGAACAACGAAGGGAAGTTCAGGAAAAAACACGAATATGCCGAAGGCCTTTTCTGCCCTGATGAAGCATAAATGCGAAAAGGCCTTCGGCATATTCGTGTGTTTTCCTGATCTTCCCTTCGTTGTTCTTCCTGCACATACACGCGCACACACACACACGCACGCACACACACACACACACACACACCACACACACACACACCACACACACACACACCACACACACACACACACACACACCACACACACACACACACACACACACACACACACACACACACACACACACACATATATGTCATGATGTAAAGAATAATATAGTATATGATATAAGGCAGAGTACATTCCTTGTCTATATATTCCAGTATTCGCTAAAAGTGAAACTTGCTTCAGTTTCCTCAGTCTCGGTCTGAAGTTAGGATCGGACGAAGCCTGGCATCGACGCCAAGGTGAAATTTCTGCTTTAGTTTTCTTGCAACTGCAGTCGATTTGCTGCGAACGGACGGACGGCTCTAACCCTAACCCCTTTCCTTCCAGAAGCAGGAAGCAGAGCAGGACAGCATAGAGTCGGTGCAGTCGTCATCGTCGTCGTCGTCATCGTCATCGGCCAGGCCAGACACGCCCGAGACAACCTCCGCCCACTCGGCCAGCCCGGAGCCGGAGGAGCCCGCCCTCGCCGCCCCAGCCACGCGCGCGGAGATGTTCAAGTCGCCGCTGCAGAAGGCGGAGTACCTCAATGGTGAGAGAGAGAGAGAGAGAGAGAGAGGGGGGGGAGAGAAAGAGAGGGAGAGAGAGGGGGGGGAGAGAAAGAGAGGGAGAGAGGGGGGGGGGAAAGAGAGGGAGAGAGGGGGGGGAGAGAAAGAGAGGGAGAGGGGGGGGGAGAGAAAGAGAGGGAGAGAGGGGGGGAGAGAAAGAGAGGGAGAGAGGGGGGGAGAGAAAGAGAGGGAGAGAGGGGGGGAGGGGGGAAGGAGGGAGGGAGAGGGTCTGTCGTGCGGCTAGGCGGCTCGAGCTGCGTGCTTGCGAGAGAGCAGTTCTTGCCGAAGAGGAACTTGTCATGTGGGTACTAAACATGTATGTAAGTGATATATAAAATATAAATATATAAATATATAAAAATATATATTTATGTATGTGTATACACACACACACACACACACACACACACACACACACACACACACACACACACACACACACACACACACACACACACACACACATACATATATAATATGTATGTATGTATATATATGTATATATATACATATATATAAAATGTATGTATGTATATATATACATATATATAAAATGTATGTATGTATATATATACATATATATAAAATGTATGTATGTATATGTATATATATACATACCATATATATAGTATGTATATTTATATATGTATACATATACATACATACATTTTATATATATGTATATATATACATACATTTTATATATATGTATATATATACATACATATATTTTATATATATGTATATATATATATATATATATATATATATATATATATATATACATACATATCATATATATATATGTATGTATGTATGTATATATATACACATATATGTATATATATATGTATATACACATATATGTATATATATATGTATATACACACATATATATATATATATATATATATATATATATATATATATATATATATATATATATATATATATATATATGTATATGCACATATACATATACATATGCATAGGTATGTATATATAATGTATGTATGTAGGTATATGTATATGTATATGTATATGTATATGTATATGTATATATATATATATATACATATATATATACATATATATGTGTGTGTATATGTGTGTGTGTGTATGTGTGTGTGTGTGTATGTATGTATGTGTGTGTGTGTATGTATGTATGTGTGTGTGTGTGTATATGTATGTGTGTGTGTGTGTGTGTATATGTATGTGTGTATGTGTATATGTATGTGTATATGTATGAGTGTATGTGTATATGTATGAGTGTATGTGTATGTGTATATGTATGTATGTGTATGTGTATATGTATATGTATGTATGTGTATATTTATATTTATATTTATATCTATATATATGTATTTATTTGTTTGCTAAAGTCGGGAGTAATATGATTTGCTTGTACATGCATACACACATGCATAAAATAGTTTGAAATATAAATACCTCGAGATGAATCCTAGACGCCGACTGCCCTCTTCCCCAGGCCCCGACCAGGTCATCCCGACGGACCGCCTCAAGACGTGGGAGCCGAGCGGTACGACCAAGCTGAAGATCGGCGACCAGGGCGTCTCCGCCCACACGCCCGTCTCTGTGCCAACGCTGCTGAAAAAGGCCGCGGAGAAGTATGTAGTATTTGTCGCACTTCGTCTTATTTGTCCCCTTCTCTCAGTGTGAGCTTTGCTGTTTGACGTTGGTCTTGGGAACGAAGGCTTCTATGGGTACCTAAATGCCGCCCTTGTTCGCAGGTTTCCCACCACCAACGCCCTTGCAGTGAAGCGAGACGGGGCCTGGAAATACACCACGTACACCGAGTACTACCAGCAAGTCCGCACAGTGGCCAAGGCCTTCATCAAGCTCGGCCTCCAGCAGTACCACGGGGTGTGCATCCTGGGCTTCAACTCCCCCGAGTGGTTCATCTCCGACCTGGCCGCCGTCTTCGCAGGGTAATTAAACAAGTCTTTTATTGGCGTGCAAGGACACTGGGCAAAACACATTTACTCTTAAATCTCTTGCTGTTGATGTTATAACCCGAATTTACTCGTCTTTTTAGGGGCTTCGCTGCCGGAATCTACACCACCAATTCTCCTGAAGCTTGTGAACACTGTGCCAAAAATTGTGAAGCTCAGATATGGGTGGTGGAAGACCAGAAACAGTTGGACAAGGTCCTCAAGATCCGCGGCCGCCTTCCGTCAACGCGGGCGATCATTCAGTACAGTGGAAAGCCCACTGTGGAGGGCGTGCTGAGCTGGGAAGATGTCGTGACGCTGGGGAAGCAACAGTCTGACAGCGAGCTGGACGCCAGGCTGCGGCGCATCGCGGTCAACCAGTGCTGCACCCTCATCTATACCTCCGGCACGACCGGCCCCCCGAAGGGCGTCATGCTCAGCCACGACAACATCACCTGGACGGCCCACGCCAACTGCATCAACGCCGACTTCCACTCTGGAAAGGAGGTCATCGTCAGCTACCTGCCCCTTTCTCACGTCGCCGCGCAAATGGCCGACTTGTACATCACGATGTACGCTGGAGCGACGTGCTACTTCGCACAGCCCGACGCCCTGAAAGGAAGTCTCGGGCAAACCCTCAAGGAGGTCCGCCCAACACGATTCCTGGGCGTCCCTCGCGTCTGGGAGAAGATCTATGAGAAGATGATGGAAGTCGGTCGCAAGACGACAGGAGTCAAGAAATCGATTGCCACTTGGGCCAAGTCTGTCGGCCTGGAGACCAGTATGCGCAAGCAGCAGCAGGACTTCTCCAAGTCGTGGGGCTACTCCATTGCCAATGCAGTTGTCTTCAAGAAGATCAAAGGAGTCCTTGGGCTGGACAGGTGTGACCTGCATTTGTCGGGGGCTGCTCCCATATCCCCGGATATTGTGCGCTACTTCCACAGTCTGGACATCCCTCTGACAGAGATTTATGGCATGTCTGAATCCTCCGGCCCCCACACCATCGGGCTGGAGAAGGCCTTCAAAATGGGCAGCTGCGGGCGCACGGTGCCCGGCTGTTACACGAAGCTAGACAACCCGGACGCAGATGGGAACGGGGAGGTGTGCATGGGCG